GAGAGCCCGGGCGGGAAATTTGTACAATTTTTGTGAAAAAAACATTGGGTTTTTGATGTTTTTATGTTGAAATGCTTGCAAACACACGGTGTTCGGTAGGATTCTGACATGAACGCGCGCGTGTGCTCTTTGTGGTATTTTTTGCAATGGATTATCGCCGTGGACGACAGGACGTCCATGTCGAGAGGAAAAAATAAGAAAAATGTTGATTTGTATTGTTTTTTACAGGTTAGGATGGGACCACCCGGATGCGGCCCCTAATGGCCGGCCTGAGGGGGGAGTAGGAGTATATTATAATAAGGAATAAGGATAGGAGTAGGAGTAGGAGTACGAGTCAAGCTAGCCAGCTCGAGCGAGTCAAGCATGGCATGCCCAGTCCCACCCGCCCTCCCACAACATAAGAAGCAAAGCTGGCACAACTGGGGGCCGAAGTCACACCGGCCAGCCGGTTTGGTACAGCTGATGCGGCCGCGATGGCGGTTGCCGACGGGAACTGGCGAGCGCGTGTTGAATGCCGCGCACGCATTGCCAGACGAGTCGAGAATGGCCCGGTACACCGCAGGAAGCCAGAGGTGGCCGGAGGAAGCCCGACGGTCTGACAGGACACCCCAAAGCATTTTTGTGAAAAAGCATTGGGTTTTTGATGTTTTTATGTTGAAATGCTTGCAAACACACGGTGTTCGGTAGGATTCTGACATGAACGCGCGAGTGTGCTCTTTGTTGTATTTTTTGCACAGGATTCGCGGCCTGGGTGCATGACAGAGCATCGCGAGTGCACCGCGCGATGACGTGAAATCGCTGGATTTGACAGAATTCTTAAGATTCCTATGGTTTTCCTATGATTTCAGCAAGAGAGCCCGGGCGGGAAATTTGTACAATTTTTGTGAAAAAAAACATTGGGTTTTTGATGTTTTTATGTTGAAATGCTTGCAAACACACGGTGTTCGGTAGGATTATGACATGAACGCGCGCGTGTGCTCTTTGTGGTATTTTTTGCAATGGATTATCGCCGTGGACGACAGGACGTCCATGTCGAGAGGAAAAAATTAGAAACATTTTGATTTCGTATTGTTTTTTACAGGTTAGGATGGGACCACCCGGATGCGGCCCCCAATGGCCGGCCTGAGGGGGGAGTAGGAGTATATTCTAATAAGGAATAAGGATAGGATTAGGAGTAGGAGTAGTAGCAGCACATGAGCTTCATGATGATGATGATGATGATGGCAGAGATGGCGATGACCGCGACGATGTATGGCGGCGACGGTGGTGATGCTCATTGGTGAGCAAGATGGCGTTGGGGACTGGGCAGGAAGATTGGGGGCTGGATCGAATGATCAATGCTTCTCTGCGAGGACGGGTTGGAGGGCCCGTGGCGCCCGCGCAAGCGCGAGGCCGGAGCGGCTTTCGACGACGACGAAAGCGCCCGGAGGGCCTGGAGGGCCAGCACGGGCGCAAGTTTGGCTGGGGCCTGGACGGACGAGCGCGCGCGCGAGGACAAGCGGGGAGGCCTGAAGGGTTCGCGCAAACGCAAGTCTGCTTGGACTTCCGCGACGACGAGAGCTGCTGCGAGGACGGGCTGACGGACGCGAGTGGTCCGCGCAAGCGTATGCTCGGCATGGGCCTGGGCGAGAGCGGGAGCCTCTTCGGGGACTGGCTGGAGGAGCCGAAGAGCCCGCGCAAGCGAGAGTTCGGCCCGAACCTGGGCGAGGGCGAGAGCCCCCGCGAGGGCAGGCGACAGTGCGAGCGCGAGTCCGGCCTGGACCTGGGCGTGGACGAAACATTTCGCGGGGACAAGCTGGGCGGCCCGAAGGGCCCGCGCGCGCGATTCGGCCGGGGCCCGCGCGGGGGCGAGAGCCTTCTGAGAGGACAGGATGGATGGCCTGAAGGGCCTGTGCATGCGCAAATTCGGCTTGGACCCTGACGAGGGCGAGCGCTTCTGCGAGGACGGGCTGGGGCTCCCGGAGGGCCGTCGCTAGCGCGAGGCAAGTCCGGCCTCTGCGAAGGCGGGTTCGAGGGCCGGATGGGCCCGCGCGAACGGAGGTTCGGCCAGGGCCTCGACGAGGACGAGAGCCTCCCGCGAAGACAGGCTGGAGGACCAGACGGGCTTGTACAAGCGCTTGGTCGGCCTGGATCTGAGCGAGGTCGGGGGCCGCTGCGAGGGCGGGCGCGAGGGCGTCAAGGGCCCGCGCGAGCGCAAGCCCGGCTTGGGCCTGGGCGAGGGCGAGAGCCTCTGCGAGGGCAGGATGGAAAGCCCGAAGGACCCGTGCATGCGCAAGTCTGGCCTGGGCCTGGACGAGGAGGCGGGCCCATGCGAGGACAGGCCGGAGCATCCGGAACGCCTGTGGCCCGAGATCGGCCTGGGCCAGGGCGAGGACGAGGGCCTCTGTGAGGACAGTCCGGAAGGCCAGGGGGCCCGCGCCAGTGCAAGTTCGGCCTGGGTTCGGATGAGGGCGGGCAGTTTTGCGAGCGCAGGCTGGCGGATAGGCTCGAGGACGTGAAAGGCCTGTGCATGCGCGCTTGGCCGGGGCAGGGCGAGCGTCTGCGAGGGCAGACGAGGTTGAGAGCGGGCCTGCGGTGGCGGAAGCGGCGGCTCTTTGTGAGCTAGAGCGCCACCCCAGGCTTGGCCCCGTGCTCGGTCAGGCCAATAGCGTCTGCTTTCTGACTTACAGCTAGTGTCTTGGGGGCCTGAGGCGGCAGAAATGGCAACTCTTCGCCGGCTAGAGCGCCGCTCCAGGCTGGGCGCAACTTCGGTTTGAAACTTTGCACATTTTGTTTGGTGTCTGTGGGATTGCATTTCGCTTGTTTTGCTTGCAGTTTTCCTCGGGGGACTGGTGGCGAAAGTGGCTGCTCTTTGTGAGCGAGAGCGCCGCCCCAGGCTGGTCCGAGCCAGGCGTTCTCGCGCGTGGACGTGCAGGTTGTCCTGGCCCTCCCCTCCTCGTCTTCAGCTTTCTTCGACGCCAGGTGGTGCGAGCGCTTTTCTTGCGGCCGTGCTGCACGGCCCATATTCCCGAATGCCGCTCTCTGCAAGTGGCCCATTATGGCGTGCAAGCTGCCTCCTCATTTCCGCTTGCCCCTGCCTGTTTCCGTTCCTGTCTTGCGGGATCCTCCCTTGCCGCCCCCACCCCGCCCCCCTTCTCTCCGAGGTCAGGCAATGCGAGCGCGCTCTTCACGTGCCCGCCTCGCCCGCTTGCAGCCTGGGTCGGGCGCTTGCCCTTCTTACTGTGTGCATGTCTTTTCTCCCGTCCTCCGCGCCCTTCTTTCCTTCCTTCCGTCGTCGCCCCCCCCTCCCTGTGCCGCCACCCCCCCTCCCAGAGGCTCGGCCTCCTGTATGTTGTGAGAAGTTTGCGCTGCGAGCACATTTTTCTCTTCCCCGTCCTCTTCAACCTTCTCTTCTCCAATCGTCGTCGTCCCCTTCTCGTCGTGTTTCCTCCCCTTTGGGGGGCCGTCCCGAAGCAATGCTTCGCCAGACCCCGCCCTGGCCGCCCCGTACCCCCCCCTTCGCCGCTGCATTCTGCCCCGTCGACTCGGCGCTGCACCCTGCCAGTGTTCCGTGAGGGGCCGGCCGTCTCGCGTTTTCCCGGCCTCTCTTCTGAGCATTGCGCGTTCTGCCGCCGTCTGCGCTGCGCGCCCAACGGTGTGGCGAATCGCCCACCCGCGGCGCCCGAGAAAGTATGTGTGTGTGTGTGTGCGTGTGTGTGTGCGCGCGTAGACAAACACCGCCCGCGCGCTTGTAGTGGGAACGTGTGGGGCATGGAGTATGGAGAACCATGGCGAGCCTGAGCGCAGGTCCAACTGGGCAGCCCACGTTGGAGTTGAGCAACGTAGGAAACCACAGGAAACTGCACATCGCACATGCGCCACATAGCTTCGCAAATCGCTGATCGACCGTGGGCGCGGGTAGAAGTGAAACAGCAGGAGAGAGGAGAGAAGAGGAAGGGGATGAGGATCGGATCGGGTCGGCGGTCCGCGAACATATTTGGTCGTTAACTATTGCCAGGGAATGCAGCACCCGATGTGGCTTGCAGGAGGAGGTTGAAGGGAGAGGAGGAGGAGGAGGAGGAGGAGGAGGAGGAGGAGGAGGAGGAGTAGGAGAGGGAAGAGGAGAGGAGGGAAGGATGGCTGGAGGGTGCGAGAGGTGAGAGAGGGAGGGAGGGAGGATAAGGAGGAGTAGGAGGAGGAGTAGGAGGAGAGGAGAGGAGGAGGAGGAGGAGGGAAGAGGAGGGAGGGAGGGATGGAGGGAGGGTGGGGGAGGGAACGAGGGGGGGAGGGAGGAAAAGGAGGAGGAGGAGGAGGAGGAGGAGGAGGAGGAGGAGGAGGAGGAGAACAAGAGGAGGAGGAGGAGGAGGAGGAGGAGGAGGAGGAGGAGGAGGAGGAGGAGGAAGAGGGACAAATGAACGGAAGGAGGGGGGTATGGAGGATGGGTGGACGGACGCGCGCGACGGGTGTTCCCTCACGTTTCCCCTGCCCCGCCGCGGTCGAACCCCACCCCTTTCCCCGAGTGTCCAAGGCATTGTGTGCCCTGTCCCTGAGGGCTCAACGGTTTTTTTCGGTTCGATAAATTCGAGGCGGCCTCCCAGACAACAGCATACCAACTTCCCGCTGGGTAACAGTTACCCACCTCACTGACAAAGCAACGTCAGAGGCTTGGCTCCCAATGCTGGTGTTTCGTCACGTGCCGTTGTTGGATGGGCCTAGGGCCAAGAAACAGACCTTTGGATATCCACGTAATGGAAAACAGCGCCAGCCGTGTTTTTCTCGACTCAGGATGTGTGGAACGGGGGGTCGCCGCTCCCAGGGCATATGACGTCACGGTCTCTCAACACGTTTAGTGCGCGCCGCTCGCTGCGCTTCCAGGAAACCAGCTGTCTGGTCCGCGTCTGCGTCCAGTTTGTCTTCGGCCCCCCCGCAGCTGGCCTCGAAGCCGTCGGTGCAGTTGCGTTCCAGCGGTGCCGCAGCCGAGTAGATGGATGGAGAGGAAAATTCGGCTGGACGCACCTGAGGCTCTGGCGCGGAGCCGCCCGCGCCTTGCGCGTTGAGCCGCCCAGCACGCGACCGGCGGTCGCCGCCTCAGCCGCGTCGCACCGCGCGGCGCGCGGCGGCGGCCGCCGCCGCTGCCACCCTCGCCGCCGCTGCTGTTTCGACCGACTTCGCTGCCGCCGCCGTCGCCGCCGCCGCTGCTGGCAGCGCCGCTGCCGCCATCGTGTCCGCGGTCGCTGCCGGTCTGGATCCTGGTGCTGGTCCCTCCGTCGTCCCGCCGATTTTGCTTATGCCCCTCGTCGTCGTCTTCCTCTTCCTGCTCCTTCTCGCTACCCTCCTCGCATTTTGATGAGGTGTCCTCATTGTGCTTCTCCTCGTCGGCTCGTCTTCGGCCTGGCGCGCTGGCCCCAGCGGTCACGCCCCAAGGTTCACCGCGGGCGCCCTTGCGGGTTTCGTGCGCGTCCTTTATTCCTCGCTTGCCGACGTTGGGTCGAAAGTTCGGTCCCACCTTGTCGTGTCGGTCGCTTGGCCTCCCGCGTTCGGCGCATGGCCTGGAGCGGCCTCGTCGCCGCCCTCTGACTCGGGGAGCCTGTTTTACGCCCTCTACTGACCGGCGCCGCCGCGATGCGCCAACATTACGCCAGCGCCCCGCCATAACTCGCTCGATCGTGGAAGCTATGTCTATAATCGCGCGCCGGGCGCCTGGTGGTATTTGTGATTGTTGTTGCCGTTGCAGCTCAACGCACATACCGACATTAGCGCTGGAGCATATTATTTTCGCCACTCAGCGAAGACGCCAACCTCCGAGAGCGACGATGGCACCCCGCAGTTTGCGCCGGCCGACACCCGGCCGTTGAGCTTGGTGAACGCAGACAACAGACTCTTGGCCAGTGCGGTCCGGCACCGTCTCGAGCCCTTGCTCGCTGCAGATATTTCACCAGAGCAACGAGGATTTCTGGGCGGGCGCTTTATGTTGGCCAACATAATCGACGTGGATGAAGCGATGCAGACGACGGCGCTCACTTGCGAGGACGGGGCGGCGATATTCTTCGATTTCGCCGCCGCCTTCCCGACTGTGGGCCAGGACTTCCTGCTGGACGTGCTCGCAGACTCGGGGATCCCGGCGCGCCCGCTGCAATATCTGAGATCGCTCTATTTCCACAGTCGTTGCAGGCTGGTCATCGGGGGCGGCGAGCACGACGGATTCCCAGTGACTGCTGGGATTCGCCAGGGTTGCCCATTCTCCCCGCTGCTTTTTGCACTCGCTGCTGATCTGCTTCTTCGGCGTTTTGGCTGGGCCATCCCCGACGCTGTCTGCCGCGCGTACGCGGACGATTTGGCCGTGGTGACCAGGGAGGGGGCGCAGGCGGCTGCTACGCCAGAGGCCATGTTTGACGAGTGCGCCGCCTTGTCGAGACTCCGCCTGAACGTGGGCAAAACAGTCTGGCTCCCGCTTCGGCTCGGGGACCCTGAAGGCGTGCGCCAGGAGGTGGCCGCCCGCGCGCCGTCTTGGGGAGGGCTGCGATTCGCCCACCAGGCAGAGTACTTCGGCTTCCTCCTGGGGCCCGATCGAGGAGAACAAGGCTGGGGCGCCGCGAGCGCCAAATACCTTCCGCTGAGCCCGCGAGTGGGGCCGTTCAGGACGCGGCATGTTAGCCAACACGATTGGGTATTCAATGTATGCCTTCTCCCCTATGAGCTTCCTCGCGCGGCTGGACGCGCCACCCTCGAACTGGGAGCGGCTGGAGAGCGCTGCGCTGCAATCCCTCTACGTCGGGCCCAGCCGGTGGGCGCCCGCAGCCGCCTTGCACGGCCTCCCCCTCCTGGGTTTTCCCGCGCGCCTTCCTGACCTGCACGTGACAGCGCTTGCTCCCCTCCCTACACTCTTTCCTAACAGGGGGTCGGTGATGAGATGGAGGGGCAGTTTGCCGCACGCCCTTTCCGAGGTCCAGCCTCAGCTCGGCTGAGATGGAGCAGGCCGAGATCGAGGCCAAGCGCCGGGAGGCCCGCGGGCTCGCCGCCCGCCCCTCCCCGCCCTCTCGGTCACGACAAACGCCGGCTACGTCCGGCCGCGACCAGGAGAAGGGCCCCCGAAGTGCCTCTCGGGCCTGTCTTAGGCCGCCGCGGGTGGACCGTATGGAGTCTTCGAAGCCACTTGGGACGTCTTCGTGGTTATGGGAAGCCCCGGAGAAGAAGTATCATAATATGGAGGTCTTCGGGAGTTCGACCATGCAGCCTAGCTAGAGTTTGAGAGCGCGCGAAGCGCGCGATAGTCTTAGTATGTACGTGTGCATGCATGCATGTCTGTCTGTCTGTCTGTCGGTCTGTCTGTCTGTCTGTTTGTCGGTATGTCTGTCTGTCTGTCTGTCTGTCTGTCTGTCTGTCTGTATGGATGGATGGATGGATGTATGTATGTATGTGATGCGTGTGTGTATATATATGTACAATCTACACGCCGGGCACGAGGCGGGGGTGCCTGGGACGGGGGTCTCGACACTGCATGGCGGGACCGCTCCGCCAGGAACGCCGCCACACGGCCCAAGACAGCCCCAAAACATATGAAAAGGATACCAAGAGGCCTCCAAGAGGGCCCAGAGTCGCCGAAATATAGTTCTAGCACGCCCAGGATGGTTTCCAGACGGCCCCAAAGGCTTCCAACACGGCCCAAGGGGTCTCGAAGAGCACTCCCAAAAAGGACCCAAGAGGCACATATCATTGATGTTCCAAAGATCTTTAATGGATTTTCGTGTTTCTGCCTTTTCGCCTTCCCCGACGCTCCAAGTTGGTCCCGGAGGCGCCGAGATGGCCCAAGAGGCCCCCCAGACGGCCCAACAGGCCCCCAAGGCAGCCCAAGAGGGCCCCAAGAACGCTTCATGAGGTACCCCAGGGGGGAACACGAACCGACATTTCGAGCTCTCCGCCTTTTGAGGCCCCCAAGAGGCCCCAAGCGGCTCCCAAGAGGCCCGCAAGAGGCGCCAAGAAGTTCCCAAGAGGCCCCCATGTTTGGGGCTGTCCTGGAGGTCTCTTGTGGCGTCTTTGGGCCTCTTGGGGGGCCTCTGAAACCGTCTTGGGGCGAGTCTTGGTCTTTCTGAGGCTGTTGTGGAGCGAAGCCTATGGTAGACCAATGAACTTTGTGTGTTCAGGCTGTTTTCGGGGGGCGTCGTGGAATCCTCTTGGAGCGTCTGGGGCGCGTTCTGGGCCGTCGGTAAGCCTGCGTGGGGCGCATTTGGAGCGTGGCGGGCCATCTGGAGACGATCACGTGCGTTGGGGGATGATTTTCCAGCGGCTCGGGGGCGAGTCGGGGCTATCTGGGCGGGTAGGGCTTGGAGGCTCCCTCGAGGCCTCGATGCCCCCCCCCTTCCCCCCAGGGCACCCACCTGTGGCCCCGGGCGGGCGGGCCCCTTTCGGGACTCGACGGGGCGCTTTCGGCCCCGAGATGGGTGAAGACGGCCGTGGACCGCCTCAAACCAGCGCCAAGAGTCCCCCAAGACCGCCAAGGTCTGCCGCAAACAGCTCTGCAGCCCTCTAACTACGATGGCCCTCGATGACCTCAAGTTGGCCCAAAAGGCCCCCGAGGCACTCCAAGAGAGCCCCATGAGCACCCCCCCAACAGGTCCTGGACAAGCAAATCACATTGATGTTCCAAGGGTTCTGACTGATTTCAGCGTCCTCGGTGTTTCGAGCTTCCGGCAGCCCAAGACGTCTCCCGTGGCTTCACAGATCGCCCCGGGACGTCCCAACAGGGCCCCACACGGCCCAAGACAGCCTAAGAGGCCCCCAAGACGACCGAAGAGGGCACCAAGAGACCCCCAAGAGGGGGCCCCCGACTGGCCCCTTGAAAGACTTCGAACATGTTTCGGACCTCCAAGTGTGCAGCATAGACCCCGTGAGATTTCCAAAACGGCTTCGTCCGAGCCAAGAGCGCAAAAAAGGTTCAATGAAGCAACCACATATCAATACGACGCGCCAAGATGGCCCAAGAGTTCCCCAGAACCTCCTCAGAGGCCCTGAAGGCGCCCCCTAGGGAGCCTCAAGACAGCCTTCGGACGTTCCAGAAAAAGCGCCAAGAAACCTCTTCACTCCAGGCTGGGCCATGCCATCTTCAATATCCGTCGGCGCCAGCTCTGGACAATTCGAAGGTTTCAGCTGATTGTCCCCCACACCTGAGTGTAGCACCCAAGGGTCAGTGGGCACCAGTGGGGGCCGGGGTCTGGGGAGTTTTCGGGATTTCCTTCGAGCTGGTCCTGGATGGAGGCCAGAGTGACCATGTGGTTGTTGGAAAGGCTCCTCGGAGACTCGAACTTAGCGCGCGCCTCAGTCCTCCTTCAACCTCCACATTCCCCCGATATTTTATTCCAGGCTGCGCAGGTAGTGCGAAGTCGTCTCACCTGGCTGCTTGTGCCAAACAAGTTGCCAGCCGTACATGGGGGGTCTTCGCAGTTGTTTGAAAAGATATTTCGCGACAAGTGCGACGTCGCCTCACGTGGCTGATCGTGCATACTGTCAGCCATGTGCTACACAACCTAGCCTGGCGAAGAACTCAACCGGTTCAAAACACGTGGCGACAATACACATACGGCTCACTACACAAGAACAAACTCAATCATCGGAAGTACCTCTGAACGCATCGTCGATTAACGTCAGACCGTTATCAACGTTTCCCATGCACGCACGCACTCTCGCGAGTCAGATCGAACACTGGGGGACCGCGAGGGCGTGCCGAATTGGGGCGGGGCGACGCCATACGAACGCAGGCATTGCAGCCAGTTCGGTGAAGCATCGGACCCCACTGTACGGCCGCGCAACGAGTGAGAGGTGTGCCAACATGAGGCGAGGCACCGTGCGGACGCAGCCACTAGGGGGCCACGAAACGAGTGAGAGGTGTGCCGAAATGGGGCGGGACACCGTGTAACCCTGCCAGTGGGGCTTTCGTTGGAGATGCCCATGGGCCACGAAGCGTCTGAGGGCTGTGTCGAAACGGAGCGGCGGGGTACCATGTTAATCCAGCCATTGCATTGGAGCTTTCGGTGGGGCTCCCAATCAGCCCACGAACAGTGAGAGGGGTCTGTCAAGCAGGGGCGAGCCACCACGCTAGCGCTGCCATCGGAGCCTTCGGTGGAGCTTCCCAGGGGGGCGCGAAACGAGTGAGGTGTGTGCCGATATGGGGTGGGACTCCATCCGGACTGCGTCACTGATGCCTTCTGTGGCGTTCCCTAGATTTCCACGAAAAGTGTGAAGCGTGCGCTGAAATGGGGCGGAGTACAATGCGAACCTTGCTAGTCGGGCCCTCGGTGGAAATCCCTAGAGGGCGACGAGCCGCTTGATGGGTTTGCCGAACTGGAGCGGATCACCATGTGAACCTTGCCATTGAGGCCTTCTGTAGAGCTTCCAAGAGGGCCACGAAACGTGCAAGGGGTGTGGCGAAATTGGGTGGAGCACTGCCGCTGCGGCCGTCGGTGGAGCTTCCTAGAGGGCCACGAAACGAGTAAGGGATGCGCCGAACTGGGGCAGGTAACCATGCGAACACTGCCACGGGGGCTTTCGGTGTAGCTCCCTAGAGGGCCGCGAAACGAGTGAGGGATGCGCCGACATGGGGCGGGTAACCATGCGAACTCTGCCACGGGGGCACGAAACGAGTTTGTGGTGTGCCCAAATTGAGCGGGTTACCATGCGAATCTTGTCAATGGGGCCTTCGGCGTATTTCCCTACAGGGCACGACAGCTGTGAGGGATCTGTCGAAATCGAGCGGGGAACCACTCCCTGAGCGTGTGAAGGGTGCGCCGAAGCGGACATGCGGGCGGCAGAGTGACGGGATGGGGAGGAGGAGACGAGAGGCGTTCGCGTCGCGACGTTGCGAATTTTTTTTCGCGGGCCCCGCTCAAGGGAGGGATGGGAGCACATTCGTGTATGTGTCTGTGTGGAGGGGATTTCGGATACACGCTGGTCAATTGAAGAAACATATACCTGAGATAACCCCAAGCAGTTGATGATTTGACAATTGATACTATGGATCTTGAGATCGATTGTGAGTTCGATCATGAGATCGATAGTGTAATCTATACTGAGGACAATTGTAAGGTCGATCGTGAGACCGAGAGTGAAGTCGATGCAATGAGATCGATAGTGAGATCGATCGCGAGATCGCTCATGCGATCTCTAGTGGGATCGCTTGTGAGATTGATAGTGAGATTGACTGTGAGATCGATGGTGAGATCGATCGAGAAGACGGTAACGAGATCGATGGTGAGACCGACGATAAGAAGATCGACCAGGAACCCGGGAACCCGGGAACCTTGCCTTCCTCCGAAATCGGCCCACGACCGGGTACCGGGAACCCGGGAACCCGGAACCGGGAACTTGGGAACCCGGGAACCCAGCCTGCCACCAACATCGGCGGGGATTTTTCGCCAAATCTTTCAATTTCCGCTAGGACCCCTCAGTGCAAGCACTGATTGGGGAACTACGGTGCGGGATCCAGCTCACGTGGACTTTCCCAGATTTGGAGGAGGCGGAGGAGGAAACGGGAGGGGGACCCGAACGGAGTTGAGGAGCCCAGGGGGGGGATGAGGAGTGAGGGAGATGGGAGTGTTCTTTTGTGGGTGGGTTTAGAAGAGACGGATTGGATGATAATTTGGAGGGACGCATGGGGGAGAACCTAAGCGCGCGAAGCGAGCGCGTGTTTCTATATACATATGTGTATGCAGTTACAATCCGGAAAGCTTGTTAACACACCATGATGCTACGCATTCACGGTGGCGGATGGTGAAGATGATTTTCTGGATGAAATGAGGATGCTTAGCAGTAGTCATAGTACTCGTAGAAGTAGTATGAAGAGTAGTCGTAGTAGTAGTAGTAGTAGTAGTAGTAGTAGTAGTAGTAGTAGTAGTAGTAGTAGTAGTAGTAGTAGTAGTACTAGTACTAGTACTAGTAGTCTTAGTCGTAATCGTAGTAGTCGTCGTAGTCGTACTCGTCGTAGTCGTATTATTATTAGTAGTAGGAGTAGT